TCCCTCTTTGCCTTCATTATATTCAGCCTGTTGTCATATGCTAAGACTGAGAACACTTGGGAGTTAGAGACTGTGTTTTCAATTACATGCATCTACGAGCTCAATGGACCCTAGATCTCCGAATGAGGCCTCCGGGCATTACTGCAATGTGGAGGTAAATAATCACAGAGATTACATAAGAAAATCATTGTAGTGGCAGATTGTAGGACCCGGCATTCTAGTGCACAGAGTTTCTGAAAAAGATTTTCCAATCCATTGACACTTTTCTGTCTCTAAATTGCTGTTCCTTTCCCTTATTATTCACTCACATTGATTTTCTTCAAGCAGGAAATATCACCTTGGAATAAATGTTTTTAATTTATAAAAGTAAAATGCAAGCACTAAAGCTTATAGTCAAGGACTGACCCCTGAAGCTTCAAATCACAATATTTGTTTGCATCTTAAATTGTTTTCTCCTTCACTATTGCTCTTCCTTCAGCATATGCTGATTGGTGCATTATAAATACCAATGACAGTTTGAATTGGTAACCATCGATCCTTCCAGAGCATGCTGTACATGTGAGAGGTCATCCAGACCGCTTGCACATATGCCTAGACAGAAGCTTTTGTAGGAGTAGAGGCTGCCCAGAACTTCCATTCCCTCTTTAGGCCGCTAAGACAGAATCGGAAGGCCAGACTGGCCGCGTCCACACATGCAGGCACATGCGCTTGCAGCAGCTCAAATAGCAGCAGCACACATTTGTCCCAGAGATTTGTGCCTCAGCACAGGTGTCTGAACATGCATATTGGTTTGGGGCAAATTGTGCCACTTGGAGCAAACTGACCCTGCCCAGCTTCTCCTGAATCTTCAGCCAGGGGGAGCTATAGGCTGGGGCCAGCACCTGTTCTGGCCCCAGCAGTATAAAAAGCTGCCCTGGCAAGCAGGTCAGGAGCTTCGGAGCAGTCAGTTTGCATCTGGGGACACTAGTCCCTTGTACCAAGTGGAAATGCTGAAGCAGCCCTAACCTAGAGTGGCGCCTGCACCTTCTGCACACTGCAAGAGACTGTCAGTGAGGGCTGCTGCCTGGCTGTGACCTGTTGCTACCTGCAACAGCATCTGCTTCCTTGGACCCATGGCCACAAGGCTGCACAGCTGCCAGGCCCAGATGGCCTTGGTTGTGGTATGGGAACTTCAGCAGAGCCTCCTACACTTCTTGGCCAGATGCCAGTGTCTCCTTGAAGGACCCAGACTCCAGTTACCACTCCAGGAGCATGCCCTGTGCCACCTTTTTCCTGCGTTTTTTTTGTTTTTTTGTTGTTGCGTTTTTTGTTTTGTTTTGTTTTGTTTGTTTTGGGTTTTTTTTTTAATACCAGGATTTCCAGGTATCAAATTTAGAATCCACACTACAAATACGTAGCACAGGGAATACTTTTTTATTTGTGGCATCCCCAACTGCTTTGAGACCCCACAAGAGGCACATGGTCACTTGTCTGGATGCAGCCACTAAGTCTAGATGTGTGGTGCCTCCAGGGTTGTAATTGTATAGGTGTCTGGGAATTAAACCTGGGTCACCTGTGTGGCAGGCAAGAGGTCTACCACTGAGCCACAGGGGACTTCCATGACAGTCAGATATATAAGTGAATATCAGTGTTCCAGTGCTACATAGCACAGCTTACAAGGCTATTTCTCAATATGCCTGGGGCTATTTTCTCAGATGACAGTCTACCATTGTTCCTTTCCAACATATGAGAAATTTCCTAAATCAGGGTCAATGGTTCATGCAAGCCCAGTAGCCTAGCATAGTTAGGATGAACCAGTTTCTGCAGCCAACAGCACACAAAGGAGTAATATAGCCTGCATTGCGTCCTGATGCTTTTTTGATTCCCAGCCTAAGCAATCACATATACTTTTAAAATTAGATCAATCAGGAGCAGCCTTCAGCATGACTCTGAACTTGAACCTATAGCATCTCAACCACGCTGATAACGTGCCCTTTTTGCTACCTCTGTTCTTTTGAACGTGGTTAGCACTGAAACTTCTCTGTGCTTAAGAAATTATTTTTAAAAACCTACATGGTGACAATATCATTACACTTATTTAATTATTCATACAGTGGCTATTACTTCAAATGTAGTGGTTTTTCTTTTGGACAGCACTGACAAGAGATCATCTGAGAATAATAATTTTCCTTCTTGTGTCCTTAACATAAAACTAGATGTTTATAAGCCGAAATTGTGCACAAGCAATGGCTCTTTTTATTGTTGCAGTGACGTCCTCCTTTGTACAAATTTCATCAAGGACAAGTGAAAGAACACCTAGAGAGCCTGGATATCTATACGTCAGCATGACTGGATGAACTCCATCCGAGAATACTGAACAAACTAGCTGAAGTCATCGCAGGACCACTGGCAAACCTCTTTGAGAGGTCCCAGAAGACTGGAAGAGGGCCAATGTTGTGACTATCTTCAAGAAGGGGAGGAGAGAGGACCCAGGGAACTACAGGCCAGTCAGCCTTGCCTCAATCCCAGGAAAAATCCTCGAAAAATTTCTCAGGGAGTCCACATGCGATAAGCTAATAGAAGGAAAATTCGGAAGGACAGCCAACATGGTTTTGTTGCAGGTAGGTCATGTCTGACTAACCTCATCTCCTTCTGTGACCAGGTTACTGACCACTTGGATAAGGGAGATGAAGTCAATGTCATTTACTTGGACTTTAGGAAAGTCCTTGACTTGGTGTCCCATAAGGCTCTCAAAGTCAAACTAGGGGGCTATGGGCTGAACAATTCAACAGTCAATGGGTGGGAAGCTAGCTGTGGGGTCAGACCCAGTGAGTATTAATGGATGGATCTGTGTCGACCTGGTGGAATGTAGTCAGTAGGGGTCCGTCCAGGGTTTGGTACTTGGACCAGTGTTTTTCAACATCTTCATCAATGATCTAGATGTGGGGGGTGAAAAGTACACTGGCAAAGTTCACTGATAACACTAAGCTGTGGGGAAGTGCGGTCACTCATCAGGGTAAGCTGATGACCCAGACAGATTAGTTAGATGGGTGGACCAGAACCAGATGCTGTTCAACACTGATAAGTAAAAAGTGCTCCACCTGAAGAGGAAAAATCCACAACAAACTTACAGGCTTGGTGATGTTATACTAGCTAGCACCAGTTAACAGAGCAAATAATGCTATTGTAGCACCAGATGCTACAGTTAGCAGAGCAAACAATACGCTGGTATGCATCAACCAATGCATCTCAAGCAAAACTAAGGAAGTTATTTTCCCACTCTACTGAGCATTGGTGAGGTCGCAGCTGGAGTACTGCATCCAGTTCTGGGTGCTGCACTCCAAGAAGGATGTGGAGAAGCTTGAAAGAGTCCAGAGAAGAGCCACTCGCATGTTTAGAGGCCTGAAGAGCAATCCATACAAGGAAAGGAAGACAGATACAGGACTGTTTAGCCTAAAAAAGAGAAGATTTCAGGGGGATTTGCTGGCAGCTTACAAATATATTAGGAGAAGAACATCAGGGGCTAGGCAAACAACTATTCACCAAAGCACCCCAGGGGAAAACCAGGAGCAACGGTCATAAGCTCCTAGAAGAAAGTTTCGGACTGATGTAAGGAAAAACTTCTTCACGGTTTATGCGACCAGACTCTGAAATAGCCTCCCAGTGGGGGTGGTGCAGGCAGCTACCCTTGAGATTTTCAAAAGGAGACTGGATCTACACCTTGCTGCAGTTATTTGACCCCAGCAGTCTTTCCTACCCAGAGCAGGGGGGCTGGACCCAATAATCTCATAAGGTGCCTTCCAGCCCTAAGCTTCTGTGAATCTGTAAAGGAAATAGCAAACAAGCAGGTGTTCCATAGTCTGCACTTCACCACACTTACATATATTCATCATGTATTAGAGTAGCCCCTTTTGATCATGTTTGTTTTTGATCTTCCATTTTGCACGCAAAGTTTAATTCAGGAATTACCACACTGTCCAGTCTAGATCAGCCCTTCTGGTTCTCAGGTTCATTTCAATGCACCTGACTGTGAATACTCTTTCCTTCCATAACTTTAGTTGTGACCCAACATCTGTTGTGTCCAATGGCACAATACTGGTCACAAAACGCTTTCATGCTTTAAGCTGTTTAGTTACTTCTGTGTCACGACAGGGTGGATTCCTGGGGTCTTCCATCTGCCTTGATATTTCTTTTTGGCTTGCTACCTTTCTTCTGGTATCAGGTGGTGCAGTGCCAGCCAGTAAATGCAGGCTACTTTTTAGTGTTGGCTTTAGACATCCTGTTATTTCATGACAGCTGTCATTTAGAACTGGGTCTACATTCTTGGCATGAACTGATCATTCCCATGCTGGACATGCATACTCTGCAGTGGAGTAACACAAGGCAATAGCAGTGGTTTGCTCCCCACTTTGAGGTGACTAACTTTCAAAGTATGTTGTTGCAGGAGCTGACTTTCCTTTTCAGCTTCTCTACATGTGCTTTGAAGGTAAGCATTTGGTCCAATGTAACCCCCAAGTACACAAGGTTTGGGTGATTAGTCAGTGGGATTCCATCCCAGATGATGTTTAATTTCTACTTGGCTTCTCTATGATGTAAGTGAAAAGCTGTGACCTGCATCTTGGTTGGGTTGGTGCAAAGCTGGTTCTTATTGTAGTAATCTGAGAGGTTGCTTAGTACGCATTAATCTATTCTTGACAATGGCAAAGGAATATATATGACCCACACTAGCAGGAGAGCATAGTTCATAAGCTGAGTAACAATCCAAGGAAAGTACAGTAATACCACAACATCACAGCCAACCAGGTGGATCACCAGCTTCCATTCAACAGTAAAGCATCAAACAAACAGCCTAAAATATGGATTAGACAGCAAACTGATCTGGAGGATAATCAATTTAGCATACCATACACAATAGATGAACTTGACGTCAGGATAGGTTACTTGAAGAGCAAAACAGTTGGACTCAGTAACATAGGCATGGAGCAAATCAAGAACTTTGGTTCTGCAACCAAGCTATGGGTATTACGTCTTTAACAATTGCTCACCAACCCTTAGAATATCTAAATCTATGATGACAAGCCCATGTAATTGCTCTATCAAAGACCAGGAAGGATGCCTCTGACCCAGAGAACTTTAGGCCAGTGTGACTTCGGTGCTACCTTTATAAGCCTTATTCTCAATTGTCTTTCAACTCGTATCAAACAACATCTAATACTAGAACAAATCAGATTTAGATCAGGCAAGTCCTGCACTGGCCAAATACTAAACATCACCCAGCATATAGATAACAGGCGCTTTGTTTGTAGACCTATCACCAGCATATGCCATAGTCAGCCACTGAAACCTGCTTACCAAAGTCTATGATATGATGCATGACTACCACCTAGGGCAGCTCATCTTTTTGGGGAAAGACGTTTTTTATGTAGAACCGAGCAAGAGAGCCGCTGGAGACTACAACAAAACAGCCCCCCACAGGGTAGCATGCTAGCACCAATCCTTTTTAACATATACACCAATAACCAACCCATACAGAGTAACATGAGGAGCTTCACATATGCTGATGATCTATGCATTACATCACAAGAATAATAATTGAGGATGCAGGAAGTAATAATAGCTAAGAAGGCAAGGAGCTGTAGCAGGCTTATCTCTAGTAACACTCCAGTTTACACTCCATTTCGTCTTGCTCAGATTACAGTAGATAGGTGGTATTTTATGCCTAAGGTTATCTTAATCAGTGACATATACTTTGTTTTGTCTTTTTTGTGTTTGCAAATAAATGTAAACACATCTTAAATTCCCCCCTCCCTGACCACTTAAACCTAGATGTCATTTTAAAGCTGCATTATCCATGTTATTTTGGATCACCAACTGCTCACATGCTTTCAATTTGCATCACAAACAGCTTGCAGGCTTTCAGCGAGTGGGTAAGGAGCATAGAGTTATCTTGGTAAGACAGAGGAAAAAACCCAAGTTTTTATAATACTTTAACTATGGTGCTGAGCACTATTAGGTCAGACTC